GGACCGCCTTGGAGTCGCCGAAGCATTGATGGGAATTGGGACGCCTGGCTGACCACGACTCGCATTGGAGCCTCCATGGATACGACCCCCGGGGGGCGAACGGTGCGGCCCGTGGGCGGTTGTGAGCAGGAGCAGAGGCACCCACATGTCGTATCGCGTCTAGAAAGAAAGGGGGGGGGGGGGGGTGCAGCCGAGGTGCAGCCGAGGCGTGTGACACCAGGGCCGGCAGGGCACACCACGCCTCTCGGTGGTGGCACGCGCACGACGCAAAGTGGAGCCTGCGCGCCGCGTCGAGCCGCCGCAGTCCGATCCAGTCCTCGGTCCAGAGCGGCGAGCGGCGGAGCGGCACGATGCGCGAGGTCGAGTTTGGCGCGAAGAAGCCAAACCTGAGCCGGGAGACGTCGCGGGTGATCCGGGGGGGGGGGAGAAGGGTGCGGACGAGCCCGGGGCGACGAGGCGCGGGACCACTGCGACTCGCGCGGGACGATGATCGAGTCGATGGTGGAGGAGACGAGCACCTGCGGCTGGATCGGAGGGATGAGTGGGCCGAGCAGAGGCGGTCGAGGCGGTGGAGGGGAGGAGCACGAAGGCGTCGAGCGAGGCGAGGTTCGTCGCATAGCTCTCGTTCCGCCGGCCGGGAACCTGTTGCGGGAGGAGGGGGGGGGTAGGGGCAGGGCCAGGGCGAGGACCAGGGCGAGGGCGAGGGCGAGGGCGAGTGCGAGGCAGTTCATTGTTGAGGGGCGCGGGTAGGGGCGGGGTCGGTGGTCAGCGTGTCAGTGGGCGAGTTGCTGCGCGCCTCGTTGTTGAGGTCTGCGAGGAAGGCCGAGTTGGAGCGGTAGGTGTCGAGCCGCATCGGGTCGCGCCAGTAGTTTGCGAACGAGACGCGCTCCTGAGGCGGCGGCACGCCTCGTCACGCCTCGTCAGGGCTGTGGGTGCGCCACACAGCGATCGACTCACGGGAGGGGCTCGCTCCTGGATGGCGGGCGTATACCACATCGCGGAGGTGATCTTGTTGATGTGGCCGATCATCTCGTCCCACGCAGGCACACCGAACTGGCCCGCCTGCGGAAGACAAGGAGAGGCGCCGAGAAGGTTGAGGGCAAGGCGACAGAGGGACGCGCCGGGGTGCTGGTGTGCGTGTGTGTGTGTGCGTGTGTACGTGTGTGCTTGTGCGTGTGCGTGTGTGCGTGTGCGTGTGCGTGTGCGTGCGTGTGCGTGTGTGTGTGCGTGTGTGCTTGTGCGTGCTTGTGTGCGTGAACGTGGTGTGCGTGGTGTGCGTGTGGCGTCTGGCCGCTGTGTGTGTGGCGGTGAGTCGCCCGCCTGCGGCCCCACCCAGCTGACGAGCGTCGAGACGCGCGGCAAGTTGTACCGCTGCACGTAGCCGCGAGCGAGGAGCGCGCCCTGCGAGTACCCAATCATGTTGAACCCCTCCGCCAGCGCCGGGTCGGCCCGGATCGCCGCCGCCAGCTCCTGCAGCTGCCAGTCCATCGGCCGCGCTATCGAGTCGACGACGCCGTTGCCAATCTCGACGTTGAGGACGTGGCCGCCGCGGCCTAGCGAGGCGCGCACCCACGCCTCGACCTGGTACATGTTCTCCGAGCAGTCGAGGATGCCGTGCACCAGCACCACCGGCAGCGGACGTGAGGCCCGGCGGGCGGCGACGGCGCCGCCGCCGAGCCCGAGCGCGGCGAGCAGCCCGCCGGCGACCGCTATCCGGCCGCCTCGGCCGGAGGTGGCGCCGCTGCGACTGCGCGCCGCACCGCGCAACGCGCCGCCGAGGCCCCGGAGGCCACCACGAGGCGCGGAGGAGATGTTGCCGCTGTCGGCCGCTGCCGGCGCGGCGCAGCGGCGATGCGAGACCACGGCGGTTCGCGTTGGTAGCGGAGGAACCCAAGAGGAGTCTGTCGTGGAGAGGCTTATAGCGAGCAGAAGCTGTGAGATCGGCAGCCGTGAGCTCGCCAGCTCCATGGCCCGTGGGGACGGTCCATAAAAGAAATTTTTCCCTAAAATCCCGCGACGGCTAGCACCACACCCCTCTCCTTAAAATCCCTGTGTGGTGGCGGCGTGCCGTCCTCCCATCCCTCCCTTGGGCTGTCTGTTTTCTTTTCTTACTGGCACTAATAACACTGAGCGGGTCGTACCCGCGGGGTGAGCGTCATGTGTAGTCCCCGAACGCGAGCGTGCGCCCCAAATCCAGAAGGGCAACGTCTATGCCACCTTCCCATTGGTGCGTAAACGCGAAACCAATCAGCCGAGCTCGGACCTGCCTAGCGTCCCAGACCGACTGAGCTGCACGTCGACCACGATGCAGCGGCCAATATGTCTTGCGGAGGCGTGCAGACTTCGAAGAGCATGACCAATCTCTCACCGGCGGACAATGGGTGCGCTTGAACAGCGTGGTCGGCCATAGGGTTGCGAGTGCCATCCTTGTAGGAGTTCAGCCAGGTGTGTGCGGTGCCCTTCTCTGGGGTGACGGTTACATTGGCGTGGGGGAATAGCATGGCTGCGCCTCCATCCGTCAGGTAGAGAACAAAGGAGATCGTCTTTTCTGCGTCGACATGCAGATCGACTGGTGGGGTGTCGCCCAGGGAGAGCTGGAACTTCGCGTAGGGCCCCGGAGCGACATCGAAAGGCCACATGGACCCGAACCTGCTGATGATGCTCTCAATGAAGGCCCCGTCTGCGGCGTGGGTTTCGGCTTCACAGGCGGAGAGATCGTATGGCCCTTCGCAGACATTTGTGCTGGAGATCTTGAAGCAGGCCTTGCCCTCCGAAGGGTGTGCGTGCGTAGTCGCGCGGTGGTTGTGCTCGTGCTTGCAGGGCCCGTAAAAGCCAAGCTCTTTGCCGTACTTACTGACGAGCGCGAGCATCTTGTCGGCCTCGGCTAGGCTGAGGAAGTTACGCACCGACCATATCCCAGGATCGTTGGCGAGCAGGACCGCGTTGTCGATGGAAGGAGTAATCCAGGGCTCCACCTGCCCCATGGGCACGCCCTCAGCGGTGCGGCCACGGTCCTGTTGAGCAGGATCGAAGCACTCCTTGTAGTTCACATACTCACCGTACCGGTTGCTCGAAGGGAATTCGCATAGCCCGAGGGTGCTCTCGTTGCTCTTCTTTGCCTCATATTTAAGGAGGTGGCGCCCGCGCTCCGCCCCCTCCATCAGATCAAAGAGCTGCATGTCTCTGCCGTCTGCATTGAACTCGGAGAGCATGCGGCCATACGCCGCAGGCGGCGGCGGTGTGGGCGGCGGCGGCACGGGCGGCGGCGGCACGGGCGGCGGCGAGGGCGGCGGCAGGCTTGGCGAGGGTACGGCGGCGAGCCGGGGAGGCCGAACCTCCCCAAGGCTGTCCCTGTCGCCGAGGCCGGGGAGCCCGCCTGCACTGCGCCCCGCACGGCTTGATGCGTCGTCCGGTTGCGAATGCGGGGCGACCGCGAAGAGTGGCTGGACCCCATGCGGCGGCGCGTCCTCGGAGGGCGCGCCCACACAGGCGCGCGCGACGAGCAGCGTCAACGCGCTTGCCATGTTGTCGTTGTCCCCCCTTGAAGGCGCCGCATTTGACCAGCGCCGCCCGCCGCCTGGCCCCGCGTTTCGTTCATAAAAAGTGGGGGCTCTCGTGCCCCGGTCGGCCGCTGGGTGAAGCTCAGCGAGGCAAACACATACTCCGGGGGCTCTGCGTCGCATTGAATACTGACATACTGATTACTCTGAGTGTGTGCTACTCCCCGGCCCTGGGTGAAGGCAGAAGGGTGTGAGGCAAATGACTGCAGTCTGCACTCGCCACTCCAAGACCAAGTGCTCCAAGACCAATTGTGAGATGTCTAATGTACACAAAATCCTAGAGTATGAGAAATATATGAGTCCTCCCGCCGCTCCTCCCTCCTCGCCTGTCGTCCGCCGAGCGCGCGACTGCGAGAGTGCGCCGCTCCCCTGACTCTGACCGCGGCCTCCGGCCTCCGGCTACGCCGGCGCGAGCCAGCCGAGCAGCAGCCGCGGCGCGGAGGCGGCGGCGACGGCGGCGGCGGCGGTCGAGACAAAGTTGACCATCTCGTTGGAGAGGAGCGGCAGCCCCGCCACACGTCGCGCCTTGGCGCAGCGGGGGAGAGGCAGTCGTCCGCGGCGGAGCGAGCCGGTCCGAGTCGAGATGGAGAGGGAGTGGGGAGGGGCAGAGGCAGAGCGAGGGAGTGAAGAGATGGCAGCCAGGAGAGGGAGGAGAGTGGGGAGCGTGAGGAGAGTGAGGCGAGAGTGGGCGCCACCTTGGGTGTGGGCCGCCCGACCACCATGCGGCTCGCCTCGTCGTAGTAGGTTGCCTGCACGGTCGCGCCCAGCAGCGAGTCGAGCAGAGAGCCGCCCACGCCGCCCACCAGCCCGGCCCAGACCAGGCCGAGCGCCTGTCCACACACACCCGGCAAGTCCGGAGCTGGGCCAATGAGCTGGACGCCAGGCCGACCCGAGCCGAACACCTCGCGGCCCGAGGGCGGGAGCAGGCAGGCGGCGTGGCAGGCTCCGATGCCTGGCGGAGGGACCGCAAGGGCTGGTGGGAATGGCCCTGGCGGCGGTACAGTCTCTGGGCGCGCGAAAAAGTTGGATTGCAGACGAGCACGTGTCGGGCTCGAGTCCTTGCTACGACTCCGGTGTGTGCAGCGACTCGTATTCCGCGTCTACAGGCGCCCGTGCATGCTCCGCCGGCGGCGCTGGCGAGCGTGCCTGCGAGTACGCGGCAAGTGGTGTCAGGATCGTGCATCGCAACCCTGCGCGGTTGACGAGAGCTGAGGAGTGACATCGCCTCGAGCTGCCCGCCAGAACACCACAGGCATGGACTCGGCATCTAGAATCGCGCGCCGAGCACTGAGACGCCGCCGTTGGTGCCCGCCGGGGCCGTCCTCCACGGCTGCGTGATGATGCGCGGCGGCGAGGCGGAGAGGACCCCGAGCTCGCTCGCCCACGTGTCGCCGGCGCAGCAGGCGAAGAACGAGACGTACCTACGAGGGTAGACTCCGAGCCAGGTTCGTGGAAGGTTCCTACAGCGCAGCAGGCGGAGCAGACAGACGCACGCGAGTGTGAGGCGGTTGCCAGCGGAGGCGAGGTCGGAGAAGTCGAGCGGCGCGTCGGGACCGACGAGAGCGCGCCTCAGGACGGCTGCCGCCACGCCGACCGCGCTGCAGGCGAGCACTTGGGCAGCGCCGCGCTGACCCTCGGCGGCGTAGCCCTCCTCCACCTTTCGCTTCACGTCGGCGCCCACCCGCGTGAGCATCGAGCCGCTCTTGTAGAAGAACAGCAGCGTGACGCCGCACCGTATTGAGCAGCTGAAGGAGAGCAGACCGACGACAAAGGCGGCCGCCGCCCCGTCCCTCTGCAGCGAGCCGCGCTTGAGGCCACCCGTGGCGAGCTTGTACGCGATCAGCGTGCCCGCCGAAGTGCGTGCGAGCTGCTCCCACATGGAACTCTTCGGTGTCCTTCAAGGCTTAGCCGGGTGTCAATCAGAGCAGTGGACACAACTCGCGCACGGCTGGGTACAGCGCGCTGTCTAGCTGAAAAATGTGTCAGGCCTCGAACGACGCCTCCGGAGTCCCAGCCAGGATTCGGTACTTCAGCTTGGTATAGTATCATCGTTGCCAGATCATACCCCAGGGCTATACCCTGATACCCTCTTGAGAGGACCCGCATTGGGCCCCTAGAGGATAGGCTGATACCCTCGTGGGTTACCCTTCACACCGGACACGACCCTCCCCCTCTTCACACCTCTTCGCGCGCTGCGCGCGCGCCAAGTCAGACAACGCGCTCGAATGAGCGTCGCGCAGGAGGGAGGCGAGCGCACCACTAAGCAATGCGCTGGGCGAGGAGGGCGCTAATGGCGGCCGTCGTCGCATTTGACGGGCCCGCGGCCGCAGCCGGTGCGGCTGCAGCCGCGGGAGGGGCCGCGGCCTGCACGGCTGCGGCCGGGGCCCGCGCCGCGGGGGGCGCGGCGTTAGGCGCCGTGGCGGGCTCCGCTGCGGACTCGGTGTCCCCCGCCGCCGCCGTGACACGCTGCAGGGTGATATGCACACATGCGGGCGCTGCCCAGGAAATCGTTCTCGAAGTCAACATGGCACCGGCAACATCCGGTGCTGCGCCGTCTCTTGCAGACGCATGGCCGCTATCAACAAGACTTTTGCACGGCCCACACGCGCCAGAGAGCGGATCCCCCGTATCGCCGTCTCAACTTGCGGGCGGCGGTATAAAGGTGTCAATCAGCGCCGAGCAGAGCGGCGTCGGCGGCGGCTCCGAGCTCTCGTGCGTCGGCAGCTCGGATGAGTAGGTGGCTAGCCAGTCCGACGAGGCCTGCGACAAATAGCCCGCCGAGAGCGGCGGCGTGATGGGCACGGCGCAGCCGTCCACAAGCATCACTTCACCCGTGAGGTTTGGGCTGCAGCTGGGCGACGCGTCCTCGATCTTGGGGACGTCGATATGCAGGGACAGGCCGGGCTTGGCTGGGCCTTTCGCGGCCGCCCCGCATGCGCTATCGCGACAACGATTGGCGGCTACCCGGCGAGACCGGGATGCGCCGTCGACACTAGCCGCCCCTCTCGCCGTAGGCCTGAGGGGGCGCCGCTGTGCGCCTCCGCCAGCGGCGCCGAGGCCGTGGGCGTCAATCTCGAGCCGCCGCCTCTCTCTCGCGTTCCCCCCGCGCCGCCCTGTGGTTGGAGAGTCGGCGGCGGCCTCTGGTGCTACGATCAGGTCCGCGAGATCGCGCTCGAGGTCGAGCGCGCGAAGTTGCGCCGCCGCCGGTCCCTTCTTTGGCGGCGACTCGGCCGGCACCTCGCCAAACGCCATCGTCTCGTCCATGAGCCGGAGGATGAGGCGGTCCTGCACGTCCTCGTCGCCGGACGAGGAGGGCGAGGCGGTGCTGGCGGATGCGCTGGCGCCGTGCTCCGCGAGCTGCTTCGCCAGTGTTATGATCCGTCGGCGCTGCGCACCCTGCAGCTGCCTCGAGGGAGGCGAGCCTTCGGCCTCTGGCTCGCTGGCTGCCTCCCCGGTCTCCCTCGCCATCTCCTCGCCGCGCTCGCCCGATTTGCGTCGCTTCAGGCATGGCTTACCCGCAGCCTCTCGGAGCTCTCTCCGCTTCTCCTTCCGCTGACGCGAGTTGAATCGGTTCTTGATGGCGTTGTCGGTACGGCCTGGGACTCGTTTCGCAATCTCGCTCCACTTGTGCCCCAGCTCTGAGACGCCCTCGAAGATCAGCCGATCCTCCTCTTCGGTCCATTCGGCCTTTCTGACGCCGGGGCAGAGGTGATTGGCCCACCGCTCGCGGCACTGCTTGCCAATCCGGCCTGGCAGCTGAGAGGCGATCGTCGACCAATGGTGGGCGCCATGCACCTCGACGAGACGACGGAGCTCCTCATCCTCTTCCGGCGACCACCATGAGGAGGAGCTGCGTTTCAGGGGAGCCGGTTTGGCATCGACCACCGCGACGGCGGCGGCGGTGGTTCCTGGGGGCGTGTTCATGCAGCAACCTCCGGGACAGCGCTTGGCGTTGGAGCGGTGGGACCGCAGTCCCGAACGACAAGCCGACGTTTTTGTCCGTTCGAAAACTTCGACAATGGCGACGGTTGACACGCCCGATGTTTGTTTCAGGTTTAGAGGGGGCGTTCTGCAGTTAAGGGGAAACCCGGTACACGGAGCCCTCTCGGAGACCCGTGTTTACTTTACGGCCCTTTCCCTGCGAACGCGCACCCCCGGGGCTAGGGCTCTCTTGCCCGTAACCCGACACCGATCATCCGGCCCGCTGGGTGCGCTTCTGAGCTCCCCGGCCCTGGATGTGAGGTTAATGACCGCACTCCAAGTGCTCCAAGGTTTGCGCAACCATTTTCTTCACAAACGCCTCTCTCTTCAACTCCGCTCTTCGCGTCGGGCGTCGCTCTCACACTACCGCCCTCTCCCCCCTCGCTCTCGCTCACGCGGCGTCGGCCAGGACCTTTGCGACTCTCGTCTTGTCGCCATCCAACAATACAAAATACGCCCGCTCGAGCGGCCTCGCGCTCGACGCCTCGAGGAGCCTACGCTCGCGCGCAAGCCACCGCTCCAGCCGCATCAGCAGCCGCCGCATCATCTCCAGCTCCGCCGCCTCTCGAGCGGCCGCGTCTTTCGCCGCGGGCGCCGCGCCGCCGTCGGCTACGCGAGCAGCGTCTGCCGGCAGGTCGAAGGCGTCCACGAGGTTGTCGTGGAGCAGCGTGAAGCCGGTGGCACGCAGGATCGAGTCGTGCACGGCGTGGCCGGCGGGCGCGTCCTTCGCTCCAAAGGCGCCCGAGCCTGCGCCATGGTAGATACCGGCTCGAAGAGGCTCAGCTGAATACGTGTCCTCTAGAGTGCCAGTCGGAAGACACGCGTGCTACGCATCTGGGCTCCGAGGTATGGGGAGATGTGGGTCGGCCCTCGGGCATCTAGATGTGGGTCGCATCTAGGCGCCCGCGCCGCCGTGGTGTAGGACACGAGTCCCGACGAGGTCCTGCTGCGCCGCCTCCCGCGTGGCGAGGACGAGGCGCGTCCGGCCCGTCATCGTGAGCCGTGCGATCCTCTCCGCCTGCACGTGACAACAACAGGTGGTAGTGGCTCATACTTTCGGCCGGGCAAGTGACAGCTCACCACCAGCAGCTAAGCGTGAAAGGAGTCATTCAAGGCTGCGCGCCTGTGCGCCGGACCACATGAAGAGCGAGCACGGCGTGCACGGCCAGTCCTCGGCGAGCTGCCGCCCTCGCGCCACCGCCAGCGCACTCGGCAGCAGCGCCACCGCGGCGGCGAGCCACCTTCGAGCCCATCCCTCCACGCATCAAACCGAGGACCTTCCGCGCTTGTGCCGCGCGCGGCGAGGCACGCCACTCGGCCGACCCGACGCGCGCGTCGCAGGAGAAGCCGTGCACGTACGTCGGCAGCGTCGTCAGGAAGACCTAACGCATCGAAGGTGGCAGGAGGTTGGCCGAGATGAGACTTGCACGTCGGCAGAGTCGTCGGGAAGACCAGCCCGACGTTGAGCGACATGGCGAGCGCGATCCCGACGTGGAGCCCGACCATCCCCCACACGCCTGTCCGGACGCGCGCACTCTTCTGACGGCAAGAGAGGGGCATGCATCGGGGGCGGGGCGGCGGCGCGCCGAGCAGGAAGCGTGCACCCGGCAGCAGAAGCGTGAGTGGCACTGCGACGCACTCGAGGAGGAGCGTGCTGGCACCGATCATCGTGCTCGCGCGGCGCGCCAGCAACCTGTTCAGGCCGCGCACGAGCGGCTTGCTCGACGTTGACTGGCCATACACCTCCAAATAGGTTCGCATCGTTCCGCCAAACACCCAAGCGCGCGGCCCGCCGACCATGCACTTTGCGATGCCGCAGGAGAGGACAAAGTGAATGGCGACGCCCATGCTCGCAGCGTGCGCGAAGCTGGCCGGCAGGACCATTGCCCACGCCGTGTACAGCACCGGATACTCGCCGTGCCGGTTCGTGTGGCTGCTCTCGGACAGGTGATAAAGCGAGACGACCAGCGCAACGAGCAGACGAACCAGCGCGTGCTGGCCTGCGAACGCGCCGGCCGCCAGAGCCGCCGGAAGCGCGAGGAAGATTTGGCGTTTGTGCGAGACGAGGAGAGTGAGAGCTTCTCGCGAAAGCCACGACGGACGGGTGATGACGCTCGAGGAGCAGAGCGAGTAGAGATGTTTGCCGGTCATCCTCTTGATCAAGGCCCACCACAGCAGCACTGCTGACAGCTGGAGCGCGTACCACGAGGCGTGAGCGTGCATGAAGGGTGGCGAGTCAATAACGAGGCTAGCGGAGCGGCCTAGCGGCGCCAAGAGCAGTGGCTGACGCGGCAAAAAGAATTCCTCGTGTTAGTACTCTCCTCCCATCCCTCCCTTGGGTTGTCTGTTTTCTGTCTTTCTTAAGGTGTGCTCCAAGGGTGGGCGCACGCCGTCTTGGATGTGCATATTTCGGCGCGAAGAGGGCAAAGAGTCGTGGCTGCGTGTTGATGTTAACAGACCAGGGCATGCTACCTCGCCCGCGACATCACGTGTCGCCCACATTCACAAGTCCCTCCGTCGACGCCGCGGGCCGCGCCCCCCGCCGAGCCCGGTGCCCGCCAAGGGCGCTCACATCGCCTGGAACCCCTTGACGAACTTTGCAAAGCCGTCCAGGAAGGACGCCCCGCCTCCGCCGCCGGGCGACTCCTCGCTTTCGGGGAAGAGGAGCCCGTCGATGTCGTCGGGCGCCGGCCGGCGCGGGCCCGAGTAGGCGGCGGCGTACCTACCGGGGAGGGCCGGAGGAGGTCGAGAGGGCGGTCCGAGAGAACATTCCGGGAAGGGCTCGAGCAAGCGCGGGCCCGTTGGCTGCGCCGGCGTCCTCGCGCCACACGGCCCAATCGTTGGGGTACGAGCGGTAGAGCGCGCCGCCGAGCAGCGTCTTGAGGCAGAAGGCCACCTGTTCAGCAAGGGTCCGAATGAAAGGACCGGAGCCACGCCGCCGCCGCGCAGGGGCGCTTGGGGCAGAATGACCTCGAACGTGTCCGCGACGAGCGAGCGCAGCTCGCGCCCCACCAGCCCGTAGCCGGTCGACTGCATGTCGACCAGCTTCGGGTTGAGCATCAGCACCGGGAGGCCTACAGAGCCCTCGAGGCTTCAGGCTGCAGGGCTCGAGCCTCGGGCTCCAGACACCGCCGCTGGCGCGCCCGCGGCCCCCTCCTCAACCTCGCGCAGCAGCCGCTGGACAGTGGCCACCTCGGTCGCGCCCGGGGCGACGAGCACCAGCGCGCTTGCCCCCACCGCCAGCGACACCCGCCCCATCGACCCGACGACAGTTCCCCGCGGCAGCTCCCACTGCATCCGCACCATCGCGGCGGTCCCCTCGTCAGGCACGAGAAGCTGCAAGCCCGCGGCGGGCGGGTCGGCGGCGTCGGCGTCGGCGTCGGCGTCCGCCTCGGCCGGCTCGAGCGCCAGCGCCGCCGCCAGCTTCGGCAGCATCGGCCGCGCCAGCTGCATCGTGCGCGAGAGCAGCGTGTACGTCTCGTCGCCGGCCGACGTGTCGAACTCGACGACGAGGCGCGTCGCGCCGCCGTCGACCGCGCGCGCGAGCGAGGCCACCGCACGCTCCACCGAGTCCTCGAACGAGTCCGGAAGCTCGTCCGCCAGCGCGACCGACTCTGGCGATGCGGCCGCCACCGCCGCCGCCGCCTCGGCCGCCTCGTTGCCGGTTTGACCGCCAGCCTCCTGCCGCGCGCGCTCGAGCGCCTCGAGCGCGCCGTCCACCGTGACGCCACCCACCACGCGCGAGGCCAGGCTCCGCGCTGCCGCGGCCGGGCCGCCCTCCCGGACGGCGTCGGCCACCTCGGCCGCTCGCCTCGCCAACGCCTCGCGCTCCATGCTCAAGGAGTCGCGCGGCGGCTCCGGCGGCGGCGCGGCCATCCGCACGCCGGCGGCGGCCACGACGAAGCGATCTAGCGAGCGCGGCGGGGCGACGCCCGCTCGCAGCAGGGTGTAGAAAGTGAACAGAAGCATGGATCTTGGAGTTGTTTTTCTTTTGTGTGTGAGCCGACTCCGCGTGAACTTTAGATACGAGTAATGCATCGCTGAGTTGCCACCCGAATTCTGTTCACAAATTTGTGCCCACTTCTTCTTATTCTTGTTTTATATTAGGCGTGCCGATGACCTCACTCGTCGAGAACATGGCCCACTTCACACCGATTACAAGTACTCGAGTAGAGCAGCCCTCTCAGTTCACGAGGTGAACCGTGAACCCGGTTCATGAACCAGTTCGCGGTGGTTCACGGTTAGTTCACGGTGACAAGACTGGACGGACGGAAAAACACCCCCCTTTTATGCCTGACCCTGGCCATGGCCTCTCTGGGGGTGAGCTGGGCCGGCCGCCTCCGGGTCCGCCACTCGCACGGTGGGCTCGCGTCCGGGAGAGCATCCGAGACCCGCGGTTGTCCGCTCGCTGGGCGCGACCTACATGGAAATCCACTGCACACAGATCTGTGCTTTTGGCGCCTATTGCTCGCTCTCTGTGCAATCGCAACGCCAGAGGCCGTGCTTGGAGAGTGTGTCGCAGTGCTGCTACGTCAGTGGATTGAGCCGCGACGCAGGCTCCATCGGTGAGCTGCGGCGGCGCACCGGCCGCTCCATGCATGCTCTCCGGCAGAGCCGTCGCAAACGCGTTTCCGTCCGCCCGTTTCATCGAGTTTGCCCGAGTGGTAAAATGCAATCGAATCTGCCCGAGTGGTCAAGTAAAACTTTGCCTTTCGTAAAAGTTGCCCGAGTGGTCTGTGGGGAAAAAACGAAAATCGAGACGGACTTCTTGAACAGCCGGGCAACATGTCTTCCTTACTATTATTCATTGATGCTTTTTGCACGGCTGAGCCCCCCCCCCCCCCCCCTCCCCCGCGCCCACTCCCTGCCCTCTCCCGCCACGCACTCCGTCAGAGCCCCCTCCCCTCTTGCACAACAGGAATTTTGACAATTAACTGATGGGCTTGCCCATCCCGGAGTGGTTCGACTCCACACAAATCCGAGACGGTGATGGGTGCGTCGTACGATGGTCTCAGGCCCAGTGAGGTAGTGCATCTGACTATCCCGGATCCTGCTGAACAAGCTCCTCTTGTAGCTCGATCGGTCACACCGCCATCGCCGTCGGGGAGAGGGGGGACGACACTGCTTCGGCAGCGTGCACCTCGATCCTGTACCGTGTTTGTTATGACCCCCCCCAATGAGCACTCCAGCGAGGGAGGGCGAGACGATCGAGGGGTCCCGTACCATGCGGAATCGACCCTATCCAGTGCTCAAGTGCTCAAGTTCACGGTTCGCGGTTCACGGACTCGGGGCGGGTGCTAGTCGGTTCACGGTTCACGGTTCGGCCCGACGCTGCCCCGCCTGGTTCGTTCACGGTTCGCGGTTCGCCCTTATGTCCTGCCTGGTTCGAGTTCACGGTTCAGAGTTCATGGTCGGTTCGAGGGTGAAAACCACTGAACTAGTTCATGAACCAAGCTTCCTTTCACACCTCTTACACACCGACACAGTTCGCGAACCACAGTTCGCGAACCGGCGGTTCACCGCCGGTTCGCCAGACTCGGTTCGTTCACGGTTCACGGTTCGCGGCGGGTGTCGCGGGAGGAGTCGGTTCACGGATCACGGTTCACGGACTCGGGGTGGGGGCTAGTCGGTTCACGGTTCGGGGTTCACGACTCGGGGCGGGGGCTAGTTGGTTCACGGTTCACGGTTCACGATTCCGGCGTGACCCCGCAAGCGGTCGAGCTGGCGCTTCGAGCGCTAGCCAGCCGTGCAAAGACAACTAGAATCGGTGCGAAACTTATGCTGTCGCTCGGCCGCCGGCTCCTCATTTCGGGCCTGCTCGGCGGCGGCTGCTTCACAGCGACTCGCCGGCCGGGCTCTGCTTCCGACGTGGCCGCGCTCTACGAGGCGGATGACGGGTCGGTCGCCTTTGCGCTGCCGCAGGGCTGGATCGGCGTCACTCTCCCGGAGCAGGAGCGTGCGTCACGCGGGCACCTTCTGTCCGTGCGAGCGCAGCGGCTCGACGGCGGCGCGAGCCTGCAGGCGGTCGTCGACGGAGGCTCCCGAGGCCGACGGTACGGCGACACGCTGCGAGATCTCGGCTCGCTGGACGACATCGCTCAGGGTCTCGTCTCGAACGAGCTCTTCAACGACGACGACGCAAAGTCGGCGGGAGTGGTGTCGGCGGAACAGCTGCCCGCGGCTGGCCCGGCCGAGTACTACGTCGTGCGTTACCAAGTCGGCGCCAAGCCGGCCATCGCCAAGCTCGCCGTCCTGCAGCAGCGGCTGTACTGCCTCCGGGTGCGGGCGGCCAAGCCGGCGACGTTTTGCACGAGGAGGCGAGCCCGCTGCGGAACCTTGCACGAAGCTCCTCGGAACCTTCCCGTAGGCGGCCGTAAGCTTCTTCGAGGAGGCGAGCCCGCTGCGCGTCGAGCTCGAGGCGGTCGCCGCGTCCTTCCGCGCGGTCGCCGTCAACGCAGACTGCCTCGAGCGCAGCAACCGCGGCCGCGCGCCAGGCGAGGGCGCGTGCCGGCCGCTGCGGCGGACAGCGCCGCTGATGAGCGCGGCGGCTGTGCGGGCGGCGAGCGGCGGCGTCCGCGTTCGCATCGTGCACGGCGGCTGCTCCGAGCGCCAGGCGAATGCGCTGGCGTACCGGCTGCAGACGATGTTCGGCCCGCATGGCTTTTCTGTGAGCACGGTGGCGGACGCGGCGGGGAGAGACTCATTCGAAGTCGAATGCGACGGCGAGCTGCTGCACTCGAAGCTCACCAGGTCGTTGCACGGCGATGGCGGCTGCGAGAGCGAGGAGGAGACCGCCGTCCTGGTCGCGGCGATCTGCGAGCGGCTGGGACTCGACGGGTCCGCGCCCGTGAGGTTGTACCGGGATGGGTGACGCCGGTGGGTGCATCTGCCTGTCACTGCTGTGCCTAGCTCACATGTAATTTTGTGCCGTCTCTGGACTCTGCACTTCTCGCCGCCCGCGCGGCTGGAGACCACGCTTCCCCACAGCCACACGGCGGCCGTCGGCGTCGTTTTTGAGATTTTGTATTTCTCTGTGTGCGCGCCCACCTGCAGCTCCCCCTCCGCCACGAGTTCTCGGGAACTTTCGCAACGGCTCGTGTCGGGCGGTTTCGGTACCGCGTGCGTGGATGACGCGATGCGCCATGCGCCATGCGCGCGGTGTGAACATAAGTTAAGCGCTAACGCATTCCACAGCCGACGCCATCTCATAGTATGCGACTAGGTCGCGCACATACCGCGTCGCGCGGTCTCATACCAGCGGCACACGTCTGGGGGGGCGACCCCCCCATCTTTGTTTACCGATGCGTCCTAGAATGCAAAAACGCATTCTAGGACGCACTTTTCATCTCAAAGATACCATGTGTCTCGGGTACACAGGGCATTCTAGGATGCGATGGCTGTCCTGGAGATAGCCGCGCCGTGTCTTTTGTTACGCGTTCCATCTTAGACGCCACAAGCATCTATAGATGCACAGCTGTTCTGAGATGGCACTTGCATACTAGATCACATTTTACTATACTTGGACAGGGAAGCGTCTCAGGAGACACCGTGTGTCGGGTGCACCGGGCACCGAGGGGGGAGCAGGGAGCCAGGGAGCACGAAAAGGCGGTGTGATCTCTCGGCACCCCCTGGGGGCCCTGCCTTGAGTGCTCGTGTGAGGTCTCTCCTCGCGGCCTGCCCCTCCTGGAGAACCAGGTTCTCAGCACCGCGCATGCATCTGCTCGCGCCACGAGCTCTGGGCGCAAAGACCAAAGTTGCATGCACTGCTTACGACGATCCGACGGCGACGCCGCCTCCCCCCCCCACCAACCAGTTTGCGCGGCAGGTAGCGGGGCCAGTTCGAGGCTGAGGGCGTGGGCGTGCGCCTAGACACGGAAGACAGTCGGCCAGCCGCGCGGTTTTTCTTGTTTGACTTGGCGATTTGAGGGACCGGGCATCCCGACTCGCTCGGTGAGCTGTCGCCCACCAGCGCGCGGCGACCGCGCGCACACCGTGCCCGCCGGCTCGCCGCCCTCCTCACCACCCGTCGGCGCTGTCCGCAGGCATGTGAGTCAGAACGGCGACCGCGCAGCGCGCACGGGTGTCTTGCTCGCCACCACCCTCTCGCCCCCGCTCCGTGACCGCCGCCGCCCGCGCCACCGCCGCCGCCAACACCGCCTCGCGCCTCGCGCCTCGCTCTCGCCGCCCCCGCCGCCCGCCCTCGACCTCGCGACGGCGTCCTTCTGGGGATCTGCGGGTGGCTTGCCCGCCTCGCCGCCGCCCCCACAGCGTGACCGCTTCCGCCGCCCCCACAGCGTGACCGCTTCCGCTCGATCGGTGAGCCGTCGCCCACCACGCGCGCTCTCACGGCGACCGCGGGCCGCTCATCGCCTCCGCCACGTCGCAGGTGTTTGATCTGGGCAGGAAGCGGCGCTGGTGACGGCAACCGGCAGCCACGTGCACGGAGTGCTAAGCGAGGTGCCTGTTTCCAAGTCTGAGTAGCCCGTGGCCGTGAGTGGCGTCAGGGGCAGTGTTCTGTGACTGTGTCCTGTGCGTGCTGTTCAGTGTGAGTCGGTGCAGCGGTGGGCCTGCTGCCGCTGCCACACGTGAGAGCCGCTGTCCGTGCCCCAGCACGTTGCGCGGAGAGGCTATAGGGCGCCCACCCACGAGTGCTCGGGTGGGCGCGCCGCGGCTGTGCGAGTAGTAGCGCAGCAGCCGCGGCGCACAGCCGGGGGCACGGCCCGCCGCGCAGCGCTCGCCACACCGTTTTCGTTTTCTTTTTTGTTTTTATACGTGCGTGTATTTCTTGAGATCCACACGCTGTTCAAAATATGCGCGCGTCTTCTGAGACACGCGCTGTTCACAGTATGCACGGCGCGTCTTTTGAGACAGCAACGCCAATCGGAGATGCCGCGAGCAATTCGGGATGCGCGGAGCAACTAATATAGACTCGCGCATCTTAGGATGCTCGAGCATACCGAGGACAGCGAGCGTCTAAGTAGGAGGCCTACTAGACGCACTCTAATCCAGAGACGCATTCGGTAAACAAAGATGGGGGGGTCGCCCCCCCAGACGACATGCTTCGTAGCGCCACGTTTGGCACCAAATTCGTGTGTTCGAGGACCACGCCGGTCATCGGGTCGGTCCGCTTGCCCATGGAGTACCACTTCTCGATGGCTGAGCGCTCATAGGTTTGCCCAGAGGCGTTCATCACCGGGTCGGTCATGATCTCGAGGGAGAGGGGACACTGCAGCTGCGCCAACAGTTCCGGCGGGATTGCGTTGCTCCCTGCCGGCAATGCCGCCTCTGCCGGCGCCTGTGCCGCTGCCGGCGCCTGCGCCGCCTCTGCCGGTGCCGCCTCTGCCGGCGCCTCCGCTGCCGCCTGTCCTCGCGGCTCTGCTACCACACCTGACTGGGGCACGTAGCCTGACACCGCGCCTGCCGCTCGCTCATCCTCCACCCTCACGCTATCCTCAAGCGCCGCCGCCAGCTCCGCCTCCTCTGCCGTCGCCAACGCCGATTCCCTCACCTCCTCTGCCTCAGCAGGCGCCTGCGGCGGCCCGGCCCCTCTCCCACCGCCCTTGTTCTTCTTCTTCTTCTTCGACTTTCTGCCCTGCTTGCCGCGCTCCGCCTCCTCCTCCGCCTCGAGCTCCGCAAGCAGCGCGTCACCTCGCCGCCTCGCCTCGGCCTCCCGTGCAGCCATCTCCGCGTCCTCCGCATCCCACTCTGCGTTCCACAATTTCTTAGCGTGCTCAACCATGATTCGATGGCACTCAGGGCTGTGTTCATTGGCCATTTGCATCGCCGTGTACGTCTGGCCCGTCCATGAGGCAATTTTCTCGCTTTCCCTGGCGTCCAATGGCGTCCAGTTTTGAGGCAGGGCGAACACCACTTTCTCCCTCGGGTCGGCACCCGCCTGCAGCAGCCGGCGCACGATGAGGGGTTGGTCGTGTTTAGCGGCGATTATGAGCGCACTCAGACCGCCGACTTGCCCGTTGACGTCCGCGCCGTGCTGCAACAGCGATTCGACCATCCGCTCGTTGCCGGCTGAGGCCTTATTCAGCGCCGTTTGTCCTCTGCCGTCCTTTACGTCGACCTCCGCGCCGTGCCGCAGCAGCATGTCCACCACACGCTCGTGGCCATTTGAGGCGGCGAAAATGAGGAGCGGGAGTGCCTCCTGCTCGCCCGAAACGTAGACCGTCGTGTTGGCCTGCCCGCCCCCGCCGAGCCACTCCTGCATCACAGCCTCGTCGCCACCACTCATAGCCGCCTGCAGGACCTTAAGTGGGACGGACGTGCCGAGGCTAGGCTCGCCCTCTGCTCCGGCCATAGAGGCAGCGCCCGCCTCACCACCCGCTGCCACCGCCTCGATGTGCTTTCGAAAGGCCTCTACGCACGCGGTGCGGCCGTTCTCCTTGGCCATCTGCAGCGCCGTATAATCGTCCTCGCAGCGCGTCTTCATGTCTGCGCCAGCCCGGAGCAGGCGAAGGACGACGGATGGGTGGCCGCCAAACGCGGCGCTCATCAGTGCAGTCTTGCCATCTCTGGTCTGCCGGTTGACATCCGCACCGTGCAGCAGCAACATTTCGGCCACTCGCAGGTGGCCGTTTTTGGCAGCGTTCATCAGCGGCGTGAGGCCTCCTTCGGAATGCTCGTCGGAGTCCGCACCGTGCTGCAGCAGCACGGCGACCACTTGATCGTGGCCCATGCCGGCGGCTATCGCCAACATCGGAAGCGCCGGATATTTGACGGTCGAATTCTCGACGCCCTTGCACATATCCGTGACCCGCCCGCCGCCGGTGAGCCACGCCTGAACCGTCGCCGCGTCGTCTCGCTCGATCGCTCGCGCAATCGCGTCGGGCGCCCGCCTGCTGCTGGCGGCGGCCTCTGCGAGGGCCTCGCCGCCGGAAGGCTGCACATCGCTTGACGAGCACCCAGTGGCCTCCTTTGCACCCTCAGGCGGCGCCCGCTGAGCATCCTCGGGAGTCAGCATCGGCGCGCCGACTTTGCCGCCGCTGTAGAGCCACATGGAGTAGTCCATGTATGTGGCGGCGCCGCGGCCTGACTGACCTCACTGTCGTCCACGCCAGTTCGCGTTTCTTCACGCGCCAGTTCGCACCTCTGTCGAGCCTGCTGTGAGAGAGATTGTTTTGTTTAAATTCTTGTTTCTTATCACCCTGTATAGTAAAAATTCGTGTCACCCTTTGCCCGCCAAAAGAAAGCCACTTCTTGACTTGGGCCCTCGGGGAGGCCTGCGGGCGGCCTTCTCTCGAGGTCTCGAGATACACAGAGCGGCCAATATCACCCTACCTACTGTGAAGAGGGTCGCTCGTCGAATGCGAGCCAGTTCGCTCGCGACGCCGACGCCGACGCCGCCGCCGGAACGACCGCGGCGGCCGCCGGTCATCGATGAGCTAGTTCGATGAAATGAAACAACACAAACGCAAGGCGGACACGCGCACATCGCTCTCGGGCCCACAGACATCCGCCGCCCCCGCGTGCGCCCCACCCCGGCCGGGAGAAAGGGGAGTGAGTGGGACAGTTTGGGACGGCAACGGAACGAGTATCTTACACTCCATGTGTGTGCAAGAACGCGTGGCGCCGCAGAACCGACCGCGCGATCTCGGGCGATCTCGGGCCGCGCCGCGCGATCTCGGGCGATCTCGCGCTATTTCGGAGCTCCACGCCACGCCGCTCCCCCCCCCCCTCGTTGTATGTAGCTCTTACGTACATTCCCGTTTTTGAGGTCTTCGATGTTGAGTAGAGAAAGCTTCGATGTTAGTTATGAAACTAGCTTTCGATTTTTTTATTTTTGAGCCAGCCTTCGATGTTTTGAAACAAAGTTGGAGGAGAACCCGGAGGACGTCGGCCAGCGCGCGGCGCTTTCGTCGG